TGTTCGCCTAGGATCCTTTGCAACTTCTACAGCTGTATCACTGAGAACATCTTGACCAGCTGCATCACTGTCTGGTGGTAAAGACTGCGAAGAAGATCACCAGGACTCCACTGCCCTCTTTGCAGAGCATTTACCACCGCAGGGTGCGTAGGAAAGCTGCCTCCATCCTCAAAGATCCCACCCACCCCCAGCACGGACTGTTCACCTTCCTACCCGCTGGCCAGAGGTTCAGAAGTATGAAATGTAGGACCACTAGACTGAAAAACTCTTTCTTTCCCTCTGCCATCAGACTCCTAAACAGCTGAATCAGGATCTACCTCATGTAATTCCATCTGTACTGTTTACTGTACAGATGGTCTGTAAACTGATAATCTGTACTGATACTCATTTTGCACATGCATAATTGCACACTCACTGCTGAATATTTGCACATCACGGCTCCCACGTAGCATACATTCTCTCTTCATTATATTGTTTTTGTTGTATTTTTATTTGCTTCCTTCAGTTGCTTCTTCAAAGCACCTTAGATTTGTGTTATTGCTCATCTACTTTATATTTAACTTGTATTATGTGGCATTCATGTGGACGGCAAAGTAAGAATTTCATTGTACAGGGAAACACGTTTTCTAACTGTGCATATGACAAATAAACACTTTGAACCTTGAACCATTTCACTGAGTGTAGTTCTCTGAAATTTGGCAGCACAGAAGAAATTTCTATATGTGAGGTGTCAAGGAGAAAAGGAAACCCGCAGGCATTGTTCGCTAAAGATTCTGTCTGAACAGATAAAGATGTAGGAGTCTGCCATCATTACCAAGGAGTACCATTTCCCTACCCCATCCTCTCCTCTCAGCCTGTGCTCCCACCCTGAGCTGGCCCATGGGTGGGTACAGTTGTTTGGAGGCCCCCTACACCTCCTCCCCTTCTGGCTGCAGAGAGCCATTTCCTGTGCTGAGAAGAGGACTTACTGGGAGGGAGCAGAAGTCAGCCCTGTGGTTTTGGCCCCTCTCTTCCCCTCAGGCTCCATCCTGCCTCACTTTCTCTCTGTATTTTTTGTCAGTTTTGTCTCCCATCTTGTGTATTTTTTTATTTTTAATGTCTGTTTGGCTACTTAACCTTTTGCTATTTGGAGTTTTGCACTAGTGAAAAGTGGCGTCACTGGATCAGTGTTCCACCAGTGTTCCACCAGTGTTGCGCGGGGAATTCGGCAAGTAGTTACCAACCATTTACCAGTTATTTCCTACTGACATCTAACAACTGGCCCTTATTTTTGTCACTAACTGGAGCTGGCATTACCGACCACGCTGCTGTAGTGAACCAAAAACTGATGCCAGATGAGATGTGATTGAACCACTGACACAGAGTCCTGTGTTTTGTCTGCATATGTATTTTAAATATATAATTGCCTATGAAATTCTGGTCTTTGGAAGGAAGGTTCTTCCTTTAAGTCTTCAGTTGTGTGTGGGGCCTTGTTTTTCTATATTTGTGCAGCCCAAAATCTGTGAGTTACTATCTTCGCGGGGACCGGAAGTCACTTGTGGGGACTGGAGGCTGGTCCCCACAATGTAGTTTGTTGAATTTTATGAAAACAATGGGGTGTAAAGTTAGAGTACTTTGGTTAAGTATTAGGGTAAGGGTTAAGTGTAGCAGTTCTGGTTAAGGTTAGGGTAAGTCTCGTGGAAATGAATGTAAGTTTATGTATGGACCTGGTAAGTGGGGAAAACAAACAAGTGTGTGTGTGGTGGCAGCTGTCTGATTCGTGGCATTGTGTGTAGGCAGCGAGGTGACAGGACAGCCTTGACTGTGTCATTTTTCATGTCCTTTATTTTTCTTATCCTTTTTTTATGCCGCAGCTGCCTCGCTATGCAGTAATGGTTACAGATGAGGCTAATTAACCAATCACAGCTCAGATCAAGTCCAGTCAGAGATGATTGATGAGAGTTCTGGGCCATTCATCACATGTTTTTGGCCTGGGAGGTGACAGCGGGAGCAGGCTTGGGAACTTGGTACAGTAAACTAGACATTTATGGCTACATTTTTAACTTCTTACTAAAAGACGCCTACTGGTACAACATGTGGCCATGAGTAAGAAGAGCAGATATCAGTTATGTGGTTAATATGAGGAGTTCAATGTCTGGTATGCGATGGAGAAAAGCTCTTTAGTCTTGCTGGGCTGTGATTTTTTTCCCCTCTTACTTCATCTTTA